CCAGCTGCTTGGGAGGCTGAGGCAGGAAAATGGCTTGAGCCCAGGAGTTGGAGGCTCCAGGAGCTATAAGGATGCCACCCTACTCCAGTCTGCAAAAAAACTGAGACCTTGTCTTAAAAACTAAAAGCCAGAGGGAGGTGGGGGAGCTGGGTGGGGGACTCTGAGGAGTAACTATGTTGAGCCTCCAGCTTCCTGACCAGACCAGCAGTCCCCAGCCTTTCTGACACCAAACACCGGTTTTATGCAAAGCATTTTCCACAGACGGCAGGCAGGGGGTAGGGGGAGGACATCAGATTCTCACAAGGAGTACAACCTAGACCCCTGGCAGGCACACACACTCCTGGGAGAACCTAACGTCTCCACTGCCTGACAGGAGGTGGATGGAGCTCAGGCGGGGACTCAGTGATGGGGAGCAGCTGTGAGCCCAGGCGAAGCTTCACCCCAGTGCCCAGCACTCGCCTTCTGCTGTGCAGCGGTTCCCAACAGGCCACAGACAGACCAGTGCCAGTCTGCAGCCTGGGACCAGGGCCTGCAGCTCCAGATAACCCACCACATGGGGAGGGCACAGCACTTGTGGTCTCCACCATTTCAACTGAACCCTGAGAATTTGTTGGTATTGACTTCTATGTGTGCCATTGAACTACCTGCCACAGATACAAAACCGTCGAGGAAAAGCCTGTCCCTGCACTTTACGTCCAGCAGAGACCCAGCAGCCAACTGCACTGGATGCCTGTAGGGTCCTTCCCTGTGGCCCGACTCCCAGGAGGCAGCTCTGGGGAACGGGGTGCCTGCAGGTGGCACGTCAGCTCACTCACCAGCTCTTCTCCTGTGGGAGTGACAAAGCTGGGGACATAGGGACACACAGACTTTCCCGATAGGTTCTTGCCTTCTAAAGTGGGCTCCCTGGAGAGAGGTCATGGGGGGGCACGACGTCAACTCCCTACGCCCCTCTGTTCTGGCTGTATACCACTTCTGCCCTAATTTTCCTTCAGGTGATGCTGAAAATAGAGTCTATTTATGAACACACTAAATAAAATAAAGAAGGATATATCTATCTGGTAACACAGTGTTATTATTCACACATTATCTCATGCGCTTCTCATCTGAAATGGGCACTGTCGTAAGTACCGAGTTCAGAAAAGTAATTGAAAACTTTTCTGGTTAATTATTAATTTTCCCTAAGTGACAAAAGGAAAGTCAGGGCTAGAAGGGACTTTGAAAGGTCATTTATCTCCCGACTTTGGGGATAACACTGAAAACATTATAAACAGAAACCCCGTTTCAGATGCCTCCACATCCCCATTTTATAATACCATCTTCTTTATCTCATCCAGCGGGCCTCAAACTTCAGTGCCCATCAGAATCACTGGGGGGTGGGGGGTTGTTAAAACACCGACTGATGGGCCAGGCCCTGCCCCCAGGCCTCTGAATCTGCAGGTCTTGGGTGGGGCCTGAGAATCTGCAAGGCCCACAAGCACCAGGTGGGGCTGGGCTGCAGGTACAGGGACCACGTGTGAGCACCACTGCTCTGACCTGACCTTTGCTGGCCTCAGCCTGTGTCTTCTCAGTGGGAAGAGACGCTAGATGGTCATTCCCTGGCACTGAGATACACACAGACTTGAATAACAATTCAAGAGTCACCCCTCTCATTTTCTCCCCCTCCAGGCTAAATAATAGACGTTCCTACCCTTTTATTATAGGTATCGTTTTCCAGCCCCTAATTATTTTTTGAGGTCCTTTGTTGAGCCCACTCCAAGTCCCTCTTGGTAGTGGAGCCATGAACTAGACCCAGAACCTTAGTCAGAGACTGGCCAGGCTGAGAGCCCCAGGGAGAGCCACCCGCAAGCCCACTTACCCATAGGCGCTGCCCCCGGCACCCACGCCTGCCCTCCTAGCTCTGACTCACGCTCTCCTGCCTGATCCTGGGGCCTCAGTGATGCTTAGCAGACCTTCATGGTGCCTTTCTTCTGAGAAGCTTCGGGCATTTCTTTAATTTAGCAGCTGACTCAACACCCTAAGCCAGCCAGGGGAAGCAGCTTGTTGGACTGCAAGCTAGTTTAGTGGACCTCAAATGCAGACTTCTATCTAAAGATCACTTTATGGGGAATTTTATCTACATAATCCACATAATAACAGTTTCAGGTACAAGTGAAACTACAGGCTCGTCTTCCCTTTGTGGGCTCACTGGTCTCTGTCACTTCCACAGCAGTAGGGGGCAGGGGGAGCAGCAGCCTGGGTGGCACAGCTGTCTGTCCCAACCCTCTTTGGAAAGGCCCAGATGGACTGAATGCTAACAACTCCTTGCCCACCCCGTTCCGTCTTGTTTTCCTTTCTTTCCTTTGTTTTCGTATTCTTTTTTTGAGAAGGGTCTTGCTCTGTTGCCCAGGCTAGAGTGCCATGGTGTCAGCCCACCTCCCTGCAACCTCAGACTCCTGTGTTCAAGTGATCCACCTGCCTTAGCCTCCCGCACAGCTGGGACTACAAGCGCACACCACCAGGTCTGCCTAATTCATATTCTTTCTTCTGCCTGTTTATTTACTGACGGTCAGGGGGCCCCCCGTCTCTGTGTCCTGCCTAATTTTAGCACTGAAGTCTCTGACAGTGGGGACTGTGCTTTGTGCACTGTGTGTGCTCTCAGGGTGTTTTTTACATGCTAAGTAATAACGGCAGTCCCAGCACTTCCCCAGAAGTCAGCATTGCTCCCAAGGCCCAGATCTCCTACTTGTGGGAAAGCCAGGAAAAGCCCCAGGGATCCCTCTGCTCAGGTGCCTTTCATTTTTGTTAAAACAGTTGCAACTCAATATAACAAAGCCTCTCCCTACAAAGTTTCCTTTTGAAGGAGAATATTCCAGGGGTGTGATCACTGAGCATTCAGCTCCAAAACCAAAGGCAACCTGTCAGGTCATGCAGTTCCCATCCAGCTGTGCAGACCAGTGACCCACTGAAACCGCCTATGAATGAGGGACCCCCAAGTTAAGAGTCCTCTGCTACCCAGAAAAATCCTTCAAAGCTTCCGAGCAGTCAAGTTATTCTCCAGGAATGAAGTAACATTAAAATAAATCTATGGCAATCAGCAGCTTTCTGTCAGAGCCTCTGGGTCGATTTATCTACTTTGAGGGCACAGGAGGAGTGGACAGGCAGCCAGAGAAAGTGGCCCCACAAGGACTGGAGTGGCCGTGAGTTACCTGCGGTGAGGGTGCCGGCCACAGAGGCTGCCTGTGGTTCTCGGCACCTGGCCCCCGCATTGTGACTCTGCAAGTCGAGCTCATTGGTATTTGTCACCCCCCATGTCACACTCAGCCGACAGAGCCTGTCCTCCCAAGGAAGCCGTGACAGCATCACTTCAGCACACAGGACACGACACAGGGCACAGAACCCCAGACGTCCCCCACAGACACTTACACAACTGGAACCGGCTCCTCTTTCATTCACCTACATCACTCGCTCACAGCACATAAATCACTAAAACACACACTCTGCAAGTGTTTACGAGCATTTTAAAGACTTGTCATAAAACACAACGCTTCCTCGTAGTAAATAAACCTACAAAAACTTCAGTTTAAAAAGTGGATAAAGTCTAATCGACTTTTCTCTTTTTAGGACTAAACACTATAATCGATCAAGTAAATACTCGCTTAAAAACTAGCAGCCAACTATAGTAGATCTTAAAAACACTCCACTGAGATTCTGGTGGTGCCTTTTTAACAATGAAAAGAGTAAGAACTACAAGATACACCAGCGTTACTGCAACGAAACCCCGTCTGCTGCTGAAAAGAATGTCAGAGACTTTTCTGTTATAATACTAATTAATCCGGACAGCAAATGTCTCCTCCACTCAATAAGAAACTAAATTTAAAAAGAAATTTCTTCCTAAAAATAGCTCAAGAGCTCAGCTCTATTTCCCTTTCTTACATTCTTTTCCTACTAAATGTACCACTGGAACATTTCCCGTCATTGTCAACACCTTATGTCATTTGTATTTAAAATCAGACAATGCGTAATAAAGAAGTCTTTAGATAAAGCTTTCCAAAATGGGAAGTGGCATTCACAATCCTGAGGGCAGGCGCCCTCCTTCCTCACGGAGATGACAGACGGGGACCCCTGGTAAGCAGCCACTATACCACCAGGTAGAACTGCTCAATAAAACTGATATTTCCAGAGCTGATATAATTTATGTGCCCATTGATAAAGAAATTCCAGCAATCTGTGTGGTATAAAGTCAGTCCACTCTGAAAACACACGTCTAACTAAGCAAGGTGACTCAGAGATAATTTTAAATATTTGATAGTACAATCTTTAGTTTTCTTCAGCCTGAGTTTAAATTGGCAATAACCTGTTAGACTAAGAGCAGTTAAGACGAGAGGATTTCATCACCTTTGGTTAATTTTGATAACTAACTCAACCTTCCAGAGGATGCTTTAAATTACTCTCTGAAATCTTGCTTCTAAATTAGTTTTTTAAAGTACTTCTTTTTTAGGAGTCTATGGGTCTATTTTTAAGTACAAAATACTCCTTAAAAAAATAAAAGCCGTGCATGCACATGTTCAGCAAAGTCACACTTGACACTCCATCCTGTGTACATCACAGATTGTAGCACAGGGTATGACACGAATTCACTCTTACCATTCTTTTCCTCAAGAGTTAGGTAACCATAGAAAATGAGGCTCCATGGCACAATCACAGTCTAACGTTGCTGTATGTACAGGAACCATATCCATTAACCAAATATTTAAACAGATAAAATGAGTAATTACCTATAGATTGCTTTTGCAGAAATAAAAATAAGAGGCAAATATTTTCTCTTGGGAAAGCTGATTCAGACAGGTTCGTGTAGTAGGGTACATTTAAAGAAAAAACTTTTGCCACATTCTTAGATTTCTCTAAAGTACTAACCACAAAGTTTCCAGTTTTCCCAAGACAGAGACATTTTACCGTGATAGTAACGTTAGGAAGATTTGAGGAGAACAAAGAAAAGCCTTAAAAATTCACCCAGTACTTACAAGCAGTTTCAAAAAACCCTGGGCCACGATTCTTCAGAAGACCGGTGTCCAGATCATAAACGCAAGCTGGAGTCTAAAATAGACATCCTATCACGTCAGGCTGAGAAGTCACATTTCAGCTCACCGACTTCTACTTGGTAAACAGTTTTACAACTCATAGAACTAACCCTGGCTAAAATTAACTGCAGCCGAGCAGGCAGGAACGCGCTGACTGGCATCCTGCGTGCCGGGTTTATTCACTAGGACAACTTTGCTGTCCTCTTAATGGGAAGTTTGGCCCAGGGGCGTGCCTTGGTGAACAATACGCAGCGTCACGATTATGCTAATTACTGAATCCAGTCCAACAATGCTAACTTCTTTTAAGTTGTTTTCGCAAGTACTGACAAAGACAGAGTTAAGCTCTTTTCACAACAGGCATTCGCTGGGTTTTTAAGCACATTCAAATCGGACCCAACTCTGGCAACAAGGTGGCAGTGCTGTGTGCTGTCCTCAAGGAAAGGCAGAGTGAACAGACGCTGTCAGATCCAACAGTCTGACTCCACGCGGCACTGCATGAGATTAAAAAGACACAACACACATGCCAAGAAGCCCATCAATACACAGATCAAAGCCTTTTCTTTACCTACGATGGAATTTCATTTACCTGCTTTCTGGCTCCATCCTCTGCACCTCCCCAGGAGCTGCTGTGAGGACAAGGGTTCATTAATAAATCACAACTGAGAACAAACATCTCAAATATTTGCAAAAGGCACTGTCCTTGGAAGAAGTGTTTTGAAGTGCACTTAACTGCCTGGCTGGAAAAACCGTCCTCTGCAGGAGACAGATCAACTACAAAGGGCCTTGAAGCTCAAGCTCACAGTTAAAGACCCCAAGCACATAGCTGATATTTAAAAGAAAGTTAGAACAGGAAACTTTCAGAAATACAAATGTTCTTAATAAGTCCAACTTACAACGAAGACACAGCGCTGCTCAAGAAGGCTCAGACTCACTGGCTTTCTATATTTAAATTCTGACAATGTGTTTGCTCTCACTGGACTAGGAAAGATACCAAAGCACTTTATAAATACCAATCAAATCTCCAGACATCTCTGGGAGATGTCATTCTCCATTCTCCTCCTTTTATTTACTTATTTGTTTGTTTTTTCAGAGACAGAGTCTTACTCGGTCACCCTGGGTAGAGCGCTGTTACGTCACAGCTCACAGCAACCTCAAACTCTTGGGCTCCAGTGATCCTCTTGCCTCAGCCTCCTGAGTAGCTGGGACTACAGGCTTCTGGCATGATGGCTGGCTAGTTTTTCTATTTTTGGTAGAGACTAGGTCTCTCTCTTGCTCAGGCTTGTGTCAAACTTATGATCCACCTGCCTTGGCCTCCCACAATGCTAGGATTACAGGTTTGACCCGCCGTGCCCAGCCCCTCCCCACTTTTTAAACAGATGGGTAAACAGGACGGGGTAATTCAATGACTTGAACCAACCACAGGTGGCTGTAGCTGCCTCCTGACCTCCGGAGAGCATCTTCTGAGTGTTATATTAAACACTTAGCTATACCCTTTCTACTCTGACAGATCTTTTCAGTGTAATTTGCTTTCCTAATTTAAAAATGTCACGTGTTAGTTTGGACTTGAGAGGATCCACTCTACTCATCTCCCAGATCCCTGGTCTGAGCTCCAGGGGCTGAAAAGACACTCCTTGACGTTCCACTGCAGACAGCCACCCCTCAACACAGATCCCTGAAACAGCCATGCCCTCATGCACCTCCGTCCATCTGTGGTGTGCGGGCCACACGATCATCATCGGCACGATCCCCCACCTGTTGTTTACAAAAGCTTCTGGTCTGAGATTCCACCTCTTGCTGCCCGATCTGTGGCTTCACCTCTACTGGGCAACAGCTGGTGGGCACGACAATCACTCGGACCCAAAGGCACTACAGGTGCCAAAAGGAAAGAAGTTATCACTCATCGAAGACGGCAAACTTCTCTGACGAGCGTCATTATTCTCAGGAATCCACAGCAAACTTAACTCTGCAACTCTTAATGCCAAAAAGGGCCTCGGCAAGCTATTTTTGACACAATTATTCTTGTCCTGTTATGTCACGGTTCAGTAGGAAAGTCTCTAAGCCAAAACATTATTTCTGCCCAAAGCCTGGAAATAAGTAAAGCAAATATACCAAGTTCGCTTTTGCATCGGGTTTTGGACTGGAGAAGGACACTCTGATGTGCGATGGATCGTATGCCCATGCTATCAGCAGGGGACACCGAGCGACCTCCTAGCTGCTCACGCTCCACATGTGCAGAGGATGACTCTGCTGTTTCTCTCAGCAGCAGCCACACCTGTTCCAAAATGGAAGCACCAAACATTCCAAAGAAAACAGCATATCCTCCAATGTCGATTAGTCATTCTGTTGTTTCTTCCTCATTAGTGAAAATAACCTGAGTTGACTGTACTCTGGTCCAGGCACTTAACAAGCGGAGATTCACCCCTCAGCGGCCGTGTCTTCCTGGGACTGTCTCTGACCAGTATGGCCCCCCGTGTGCAGGCAAAGTCAGATTGTCCTGGTTGTTCTCAGGAGCTTCTGGTGCTGGGGAAGGAGGAAGCTGCAGTGCCGCCCAAGTGGAGGGCGGTGATCTGTGCCACTGGCAGGTCCGTGAAATTAAAACAACAGCAACAAAAAACTACTGTTTTTACAAACTCACACTAATGAATTAACCTGGATACCAACTTGTTATAATTTAATTTTAAATCTTAAAATTAAAAATTTCCAGGATTACTTAAAAAAAAAACCCACAAAAAAGTGAAAATAATTTTAATTATATATTTAATGTCTCGAAGATATTGTCATTTCAGCCAATAGTGAATATTAAAAATACTAATGTGATCTCTTACACTCCTTTGCTTATACTGTCCTGAGTCTGTGAAGTCCAGTGCGTCTCAACTTGAACGATGCACACATCAAGTGCTTGGTAACCGCATGTGCCTAGTGACCACTGTAATGGACAGCTCAAGTCTAGAAATATCAGACGACGATTTTTCTTTTTCTGAGACAGAGTCTCACTATGTTGCCCTAGTAGTACTCGGTCACCCTGGGTAGAGTGCTGTGGCGTCACAGCTCACAGCAACCTCAAACTCTTGGGCTTAAGTGATTCTCTTGCCTCAGCTTCCCAAGTAGCTGGGACTACAGGCACCCGCCACAATGCCTATTTTTGTTATTGTTGTTGTTACAGTTGCCATTGTTGTTTAGCAGGCCCAGGATGGGTTCGCACCTGCCAGCCTCGGTGTATGTGGCCGGCGCCCTAACCACTGAATGACAGGCACCGAGCTAGATGACAAGTTCTATAACATACATATGGACTCATAAGCACTCAGTAGACATGAACTAAGATACCGTGGATATAAGGTTGAAAAAATTATAATTTTTTTCTTGGAGGAGCTCAAAGTCTAGATATTCTGCATTCTTAACCTCTGAAATAACATCAAAGACGTCCTGAGTTCATGACGTGTATTTTGGCGGGGAGATAAGTTTCTTCACGGCTTTCTCAAAGGGGTCTGTGACCCCAAAAAGTTATCCATAAGACAAGACTAGCAGCAGAAGGTGGGAGACCTGGGAAGCTCAGGGAAACCGAGGAACTGAGACCGAGAGAGGGAGAAGGATCACTGGGAAAGGGGAAAGAGAGGACCGAAAGGGAGGGAAACCGAAGAGAGGGACAGAAGGAAAGAGTTCCATCTCTGGGCGCAGAATTAGAAAATCAGAAGACAAAACCTGGTCTGTTCGTTACCATGCTTGGTGCTGGGGACACAGAGATGAAAGACAAGGTGTTCACACTTCAGGGAGAGGAACCGACTCACCAGGCAAACCCACCTCTACAAACCCACTAAGTACGAAACTGCAGTTTACAGGCAGCGTGCCATGGAGGGCGCAGACGGACACAGTTCATTTCTTAGATGAAGTCTGTTTTCTGATGAAATTTTAAATCTATGTCCTAGAGTGATACAAGATTCTGAATTTTATTTTGGAATCTTAGAAGAGTCTCAGGAAGATGAGGTATTTCAACATATTTAAAAATTACATCTGAAAATACCAGTTCCGTTTCCATTCCGAGCTCCTCCTCATCTTCAAATGAGACCTGGTTATTTGGTCCTCCAACTACTGAAAGTGGTAGGGTGTGGGGGGGATTCAAGTTTCACCATGGTTCCCAATTCTTCAGAGGATGATGTAAAAGATTCAAAGCCTTCAAAAAAAAATGGAGACAAAAACACATCAACCCATTAGGGAAGAATTCTTCTTTGGGTTGTAGCTGGGGTGCCCGAAAGACCGGGGTTCAAAATATAGGCCATCCGTACTGGCTCTCTGACCTCAGGCAACTGCACTGAGTCAGCTTCCTCATCTGCAGTTTGGGGACAGCAAATGCCCATGTCAAGGTACATTGTGGGAACCAATCGAGAGGCCTGCGGCACGGCGCACAGGCGCACGGGAAATGCTGTGACTGTCGTGACCACAGTGTCCAGCATCACTGGGGTACTCGCTGCAAATCAAGTTGGGACTTAGAGGACTAAGGGCTCTGCTTTTACAGCACAAAACTTCAAAAAATAAAAAGTCTAAAGGAATGTCAAATGTTATGTATTTCAGGGAAACTAGGGGGCCACAAGCTCTTTTCGAGAACTCCATAGCTGTCACTGACTGCCTGATTAATTCTTCTGCATGATGTCACCTCATGTCACTAGCTGGAGGTTGACTCAGAATGTTGGGACAACGTCTTGGTTGCTGCAGTGATGACCCCCCTACCCCCCTATTTGTTCCTGGTCCGTGCACCCTTCCCTTTGGGAACCCACATCCCACAATGGCTCTGGGCCTGGCCAGCAGCAACCGTATCGCAGAGCCCTGACAAGTGCCTCATGTGCTGCTCTCAGGAAGCCTGGGCCCTGGCCAGCCCACTGGACGAGAGGGCCACAGGGAGCAAAGACCAGCCACCACCGCTGAGGTCCCGTTCTGGTCGGCCCACGCCTACCAATGTGGGAGGGGGCCATCCTAAGCCATGCAGCTCCAGACACATTCTCTCTGCCAACTGCAGAGACCCACCAGTCTGCCGCAAGCCAACATCAGCAAGGTGACCTACACACCTTGTGAGGCACAGGAATGTCTGTTTTTTAAGCCACTAGTATTAGGTGGTTTATTGTGGGTTACTAGTAAAAGCTCACTAATGAACACACCTTCAAAAAGTCGGTATGCTCAGGGTAACTGTACTGGTCTAACCATAGCTATTCAATCTGTCTTAATACTTCCCAAATGGATTCATGAACGGAGAACTCTCACTCTAAAAAGAATGAACAGTTACTTTCCTCAGCATTCATTTTTCTGTAAGGAACCTCTAGAAGTTGACCACCCACGGTCACCATACGGAGGTGGCCAATATACGGAGGTGGACAGGATGCCCGTGACCACA